TGAGGAAATCTAACAAGAACAGCTGTGAGAAAAGCATGCTGCATTCTGCCTTTTATCATTTTGGATGAATCCAATTTAAGTTTATAATAAGTTGCGGACTACTTTGTAGAACGTCGAAGTGGCAACATTTTTCATGGAGGAAATTAGACGTTTCAGGATGTTGCATGTTTGAATAAGTGATTTGCAGCTCACTAAATCTCAAGCCACGGGCACGTACGGACAACTTAGCTTTGAAATCCCATCTCGCTGTGTAATATTTATATATCCATCTTTAAACAAAACCAAACATAAGCTGCTTCCCAGTGAAGCCCTCTCAGTTTTTTCTATGTAGCGGTGACTCATTAACCCTCTAAGGGCATTACTTTATAACCAGGTTTATAAAAAAAAACTCGTACCAGATTGGTGCTTCATTTATTCCATTGATCCTGGACATTCAGAAAGATTGAAAGGCCTTTATGATGTTGATTCTCCTTTACTGTCTGCCTCGAAGATTTTTCTTATGAAAATAAATTTTGGAAGCAGAATGTTTCACTGCACCGTTAAGCTTAATACACTGCTCTTTTATTGACAAACTGAGTCTGATAAATGAGGCTGAATGGTATACATGATGCCAATGTGTGCATTGATGTACATATGATAAACAAATTTACACTGTCTGTGTGTGTATCTATCTCTGTGTCTGTCTATCTCTCTCCTCCCATACACAACATTCACTCGTTTTGTCAGTCTCTATCTTACACAGTTTATTTCTCTATCTCTCTCACATCTCTCACACACACATTTAGAATTGTAGTGATTCTCCTCCGCCTCAATATCTAGTTGTGCTTTTACATTTTTGCATAACATTGGATGCTCTAGATACAATCCTTTTCCCTCTCCTGAAGTTTGGACAGCTGGCAAATGAATTCTCACTGTCTCTCGATAACGGGTTGTTCAGCTGATGCACAATACACCTTGAAGAGAGGAGCATGGTTTACTTGCAGGATAGTGTTACAATTTTCATTTACATAAGCCCTGACCTCTTTTTACTTGGAAAGGCGAGTAGGAGGTGACCCAATTGGGGGGGAGAAGAGAGAGAAGTGAAACCAGGTTGAGTGACTAAGACTGAGCCGATGGTACAGATGACAGTCACTGTAGCAGTGAATGATCCCTGTAAACCACTGCTGTAAACGCAGCATGTGCAGTATTAACATTTCTAACCTATGCTGACTGCCGTGTTTTTCCCCCCTTTGTGATCTACTGAATATCTGCGTGCACTGAAGACTGAGCACACAGTCAGCAACAACAAAGTCAGCTCATAAATGCAATAAAGAGCTGATGAGAAAACTGAAGCATGTGTCTTATAAAAGGACCCCAGGGAGTGAGTTTAAGAATGCAATTTAATCGTGGGGTTCAGAGGGCTATAAAACCAAGATGATTTATGATTCTAGTGGAACCCCTTGGTCATGCATGCCTTACATGATTAACTAATGAAGACTTCATTGATATATATTTGCCTTTCCTCCTGAAGGCACCTGGGTGTGGCTTTGCAGCTTGCACTATTCCAAATGGCTATTCTTGATGTGGCACCATGGACAGCTAGTGTCTGATGTCTGATGATACCCCAGGAAAGGGAGAGCCTTCAAACCAAGCCTGTTCCTTGTGATTTCCACTAGGGTATAGTTTACAGCAAAGATAACAGTTTACAACAAAGATAATAGGTGGCAATTAGAACCAGAAGCCTGCCTGATGTACGAATTAAAGGGATGCTACTTTTTGAAAATGTAAAATGATAAAACAACGACCGCTACAGTTGAGTCATGTAGCTCAGTGGTTACCTCGCAAGCGAGAGACCTGGATTTGATTCTCAGGCAGGGCGAAACCTTAGACAAGTTTCCTTACTCCACAAGCTTCTGTTTACCTAGCAGTAAGCAGGAACTCGGTTGTTAATCGATTGGCAAATTATACTCCGGGGGTAATAATCTCTTCAAAAAACAAACAAAAAAATGTGTTCACTCAATCAACGACCGTTTGTGGGACACTGCTGGGTGCTGCTGCATTTCGCCCATGAAATATACAGTCAATTCACTTTATAGTATATTCTGTGAAGTTCTTTGAGACGTCTCAATAACTTGATAAGGCACTTTATCAAATGCGAGGATTATTATTAAAGATTAAAGTACTGAATGGCACCAGAGCACACATCCAGTGTTCTCAGTTAAATCGTTGTGTTCCAAACAAATTGTTAGAATAGGTTTGTTTCGCTCCTGATCTCCTTCCTGGCACAGGGTCACTGGAGCCAATTATCAAGTGTTTAGCTAACTGGGTGTAGACTAGGGTCTTTTCTCCTCTGCATGGCTCGGCTCACCATGCACTGAATTTACAAATAATATTGATATAGCGTCTTACCACATTGTCGCAATTTCTAAAAACCCTTCACGGGGTTTACTGTAAAGTGTAGTCACTGTTTATTTGTTGGTAAATTTGGCAGCTAATTTGGCAACACACAAATGTCCCACAAACAGTTGTGGAGTGAATGACCAGTTTTATTTGGAGGATTGGTGACCAGGACACCAGGAGAAACTCCCTCCTCTTTTTGAATAATGCCATGAGATAATTAAGGTCCACTTAGATAGGCAGGCAGGACTTCAATGTTTCATCCATAGGAAGGCATCTGAGACAATGCAGTGCTCCCCAAGTGTAATATTTAGGTGTCAGCCTAGACTATGAGCTCAAGGTCCCAGCGTGGAGCTTAAACGCAAAATCTTGCGAATCAGAGGTGAGAGTGCTACCAGCTGAGCCAGGCTGACATTTCCAAACCGAGCCTTTGGAGGCACCCTGCAGAGGACATTGAAATGTAATTAACAGTAGACGCTTGACTCTAGGAGCTCAAATACATTTATTTACTTGGTACTAAAGTATGTGGATTTCAGGGACACTGTCTTTGGAAAATGTGGAATTATAAATGTTATTAGTGCTTGTTTTTACAGATCAACCAAAGCTCTGGGTGGCACCAGAGCACATATACAATCATCTCAATTAAATGTGCAGTGTTTTGAATAAAATGTGAGAATTGATTTGTTTCTCTCCAGATGCGCTTCCTTAACCTTTCCTTCTGCTTTGAGTTAATGCACAAAATAATGCTTTGTGTTTTCATATGAAGTATTGATCTGGTGGACAGTGTATTACTAATCATGCCAGCTGAACATGCCCTGGGAATTTATTCAAGCCGAATTCTATTACAGCGTGTTTCCCAGTGAATTGACTTGTTTTTGAATGAGTGAAATGCAGCACATGCATTAGTAACCATCAGCTTCTGTCTGCTGTAATAGTCTGGTACTCCCTGAAGTGCATCTTTTGCTGGTTCCAGGCTGCTTGTAAGCTGCTGGCATGCTGATTGCAGTCCCTGAACACAGGGACTGTCCACAGAGAAAGCAACCTGCAAGTGGAATTGAATGATCGTTCATCTCATTTGATTGCCCCAAGAATTTGGATGTGAAAACAAATTGTGTTGACGATTTTTTTTGTAATTTTTTTTGCATACAGTTTTAGAACCAAGAGGCATTCCAGCAAGCAAGCAACGGGAGCATTTGCAATATGGCACAATTTGTTAATTTCATTAATAACATGGTGTGCATAATGAAAAGACACCCACAAATTATTATTGAATACTCTTGGGTTGGGAAGAACATGATCATCCCTTTGAACAATTCCATGTTCAAATCGTGGAGGAATCAAAAAACATTTGCTCATCTATAGAATATGAATATAGGAAAACAGGAACAGGAGGAGGCCATTCAGATGCTTCAGCTTGTTCCACTGGTTTATTCGATTTTGCAAGATCTTTTAATCACTTGCCTTTTTGCCATACCCCTTAATATCTCAACTTTCCAAGTATCTGTTTATCTCTCCTTTAAACATTCTATTGTGTTCACCTACAAATACAGTCACTATGCTTTACAGCATATCCTGTGAAGCGCTTTGAAACTTCTTCCTGGTTTGAAATGCGCAATACCAAATGCAAGTATTATTATTGTCCAAGAAAGATGCAGAGGTAGAGGTAGTAATATGGTGACCTGAGAACCTAAATCACCTTGATATGTCCAAGAAAGATGCAGAGGTGGAATCAATAATAATAATAATAATAATAATTATTATTGATTCCACGTCTGCATCTTTCTTGGACATATCAAGGTGATTTAGGTTCTCAGGTCACCATATTACTGGACCCAAAGGTTTCTTTTCCAGTATAACAGCTTACGTTTATATAGCCTCCATCACGTAAAGTAAAGTCTTGGAGTGATTCATAGAGATTGGTTTAGATGCCAAGCAAGGGAGGTGGGGAATTTTACTGTATATGCATAACTTGTGGAAAGCCAAAACAGTTCAGTTTCCATCAAACTTCCACTACCCAGCCCCTTCAAGAATTGTGAGCTCTGTTAGGGTACCATTTGTTCAGCCATGTCAATGTACTCTATAATATGGTGTAAGGTCTCTTCCCATAGGATCACTAATAAGAAATTTTCTGTAGAGGAGGGAGTCATTCAGCTCATCTGTCTGCCACAGCTACTTGTTTTTGCAATCACCATTTTTAAAATTCCAGCTCTCTACCTGTGTTATCAATGGTTTAGTAACATTAGCATTCGTGATCTTTTTTGGTCAATGATAATTTTTTTGTATTCATGTTGTATTGGCGTCTAAAGAACTCCTCCCAACATGAAAGGTGCTATATAAATGTAATTGTATTGTAAACAATGGGCTAAATGGTCTCCTCTGTGCTATAAACATAATGTGATTTTGTATCTTCCTCATATATGTGATATATATATATATTCAAAAATTCTTCTGCAAATGGAATGATCTGATAGCTGAAGATTAATGAATCCAGAATTATAAGATCAAATTTGCATTGAAAACAAAATGATTCCTTACGAGCACAGACAAGAATGGGCCAACTGACGACCTTCTGTACTGTAAATGTCTGTAGTTCTAAATGCTGAATGAATCTATTGTGCCAACAGGTTTGGCAAATACCGTAAGGATGAAAAGATGGGGAAGCTGGAACGCAAAGGGTCAAAGAGCAAAGTGGAAGAAACACTGCCATCTGAGGAAGAGCGGATACGAATGCAACAGGAACAGGAGAGGTATGATCTGTATTACATAAAGACAGTATTTCTTAATGAAATTCCTTATTCAAGGATCCCATTAGAATTCCCAGCCACCTGCTGGCATTCCACTCCAGAAGGAGTTTGCTTTTGAATAAACTTCCCGTGGGTTGATGTGATGTACTTCTGGTTGCCTTAAGGAGCTCCCAATTATGTGAATCGGATTCTTTAATGAATGGCTTGTATTGAGAAATATTGGAAAATGATGCCGACGGTTCTCAGTGAAATGTACTTGTTCCATAAGATGGCCACCTTTTTAAACAGCATAAATTACCATACCTTTTCATTTGACAGTGACTGCAATACAATGATGCAAACATTTTTCCTTGAAATGCTTTGAAATGTTGCAATAATGTCATCATCTGAATGTGATGTTATCGCTCTTCTTGTGCCTTAAATTTGGGTAGTGTAGAGTGATGCGTTTCTGCATGTGTCAGATGCACAGTAGACCAAAAAAAGGATAAACATGAAGATTTAAAACGGCTGTTTTGAAGGTTTTTGAAAAGCTTTCAAAGACAGCAATTTTATCCAAAGAACAGAAAAGCTTTCATGATTCACGAATGACAAATTGTAAAGAAGGGAATTCTGACAAGAATACTTAACACAGTAACACAAACATTGTCATAATAACCAATCGTTTGAAAATTCAAACTTAGCTTGGACTATGATAAAAATGAGGAATGTGCTTTAATACACTTTAATTCATTGTTTGATTTTTTTCTTTGAAATGTGGAGGCTGCCATATTGTAATTATTCTCAGTATGGATCCAGGTGAAACAGCTTAAACCATTGGCCATAGAGCCTTGCGGCAATTGTAAGCTTTTAGCTCTGTGACTGAACAGTGATCAACTGTTTGCTATATTGTTTTCAGTTTCCTTTGAAACTGCTTGTAACTAAACAGTTGTATTGCTGTGTGCAAATTGGCTGCCACTTTCACCCAACAATGACACAGTCACTTCACTTGCAGCAATCTACCGTGAAGGGTTTTCAGATGTTTTGATGTTATTGGCGCTGTAACCAAATGCAAGTTTAATGTATTCAATGTATTAATGTATTCAAAAAGATTAATAGATCGATCATTGTTTAAGCTTCAGTTGTAAAAGTTTTCAGTCCATCTGTGAGCTCCCTAATAACACAGCTGAAATTATTTAATGAAACGCCTATACTTGAGTGTCACATGCTTGCTGAGTTTGGATGAGATGGGAGGGAGATAATAATAATCCTTGCATTTGATAAAGCGCTTAATCACGTCTTCGAGACATCTCAAAGCGCTTCACAGAATAGACTGGAAAATGAATTGACTTTATATTTTGTGGGCGAAATGCGATGGACGAAAGATCCATAACTAGGCACAGTGTTCTGTGTTGCCATAATTTAAGTCTGTCTTTTTGGACACCGTGGAATGGATGAAAAGTCACAAATTGTGAAATATGGCAAGGTTACCAACATCTCAGTACGTTCAGACTTGAATAGATTAGTGAAAGATGAATGTTACATTTTGTTTGGTAACAATAACGTGTGGTAACAAGTGAGGCTGGAGTTCACAATTGGAAACACAGAGACAGTGTTTATTAATTTGCGTATACCGAGGATATTGTGTCATCAATCCAAACTGAAAGCTGTTAATGTTTGGAAACTCCTAACTTGTAGTCAGCTCTCTTCTGATGTGCACTGCCAGATGGTGCATTCACAAGGAGAACAGTCAATCGAAGCCCTGATTCATCCACAGTACTTTCCCTGATTGAAGCCGAACTGGCAGCTCTGTGAAAACGAACTTCACCAGGTTTTGAGCTTTGCAGATTACTGCAAAACCATCTAACCCTCGCGATGGGCTTAGCGAGATGCTGTGTGGACCAAGTCAGATTTCTTGCTCCTCAGCTTGCTGTTTGGAACCTGCCACTGTAGCTGCGGTTTTCTACAGTACCGAAAGGCAGTCGAGTATATTGTCTGCTGCTTGTGTGGGATCTCTTCCTGCTTCCTATTTTCTTTAGTAAAAAGAAACAAGCTTGCAGTCCATTGTGTCCAGGCGTGTGCAGACTAAACAACACAGGAAACCTGGAGGTCTGTGCTCTCTCAATCTCTCGAGCTGTTGACCCGGATTATTGTTCTGAAGTGATGTTCTGTGGCTGGCAGTAGTTAGTTTGCTGAATGGAAGGGTCATTGACTGAAAATCCTCCATGGCAATACAATAATGGAACTTTTTTTATTTTTCCAGCTACTTTTATTTTCATTGAAAGCATTTCCCCAATTTATTTTTTAAAAAACATTAGTGAGCTCTTTGTTTCTGACTTGCCTGTCAGGGAGCATTTGAGACAGGGGACGAAACAGTGGAAAAACTACAGCAGGATTTTGCTTAAAGTGGGTGCAAACCCAACTGAGCAGCAGTGCCCATTGCACCCAGTTACAATAATAATAATCCTTGCATTTGACACAGCACCTTATCACATTGTTGAGCCGTCTTAAGCGCTTCACAGAATATACTGAAGTGAATGTAAAGTGAATTGACTATATTTTGTGGACAAAACACAGCAGTGTCCCACAAACAGTCGTGGATTGAATGTCCAAGTACACTAAATATGGCCGTTAAAGCCAGGATGGAGGGAACTGAAGTGGAAGCATGGGGGAAAGGCGGTCAAAAGCATACCTCAAGGAGAGCAAAGAGGTCCCCTCAAAGAGGGGATGAGTCAAAGGCAGAGCCAGAGAGAGGAAGGGAGAGAGGGAGGGAAATGAACTGCTTCCATAGGACAGCTTGCCTAGCATCATTTATGGTATTTTAAATGGAAGCAAATCTATTTTAGAAAATTAATCTGTGCATATTAAATATGGTCTGATTTGCAATTCTTTGTCCTTTAAACATTACCAATATACCCTGTGAGTTTCATGAAGATGGAATGCAACGTTTGAGTTCTATAGCAAAATGTTCCCTAATTAATAAGACTTGAAGTCTGAAATTCAGTCTTGTTAGCATATGTAGGTAGCCTTTGCCGATTTAATAAAACTGCTGGGTTTCCTGAAAAGAGTCGTAGTTTTGAATTATTAATTTAAAAAAATGTTTAGGCTGTTACCTGAAAGTCAGGTTTTGAGTTATACAGCAAAATGCTTCCTTATTAAATGAGACTTGGCATCCCAAATTCAGTCTAGTTAGCACATGTAGGTAACCTTTCCCAGCTTAATAAGCTGGGTTTTCAGAAAAGAGTCGTAGTTTTGAATTATTAATAAAAAAAATTTAAGACTGTTACCATCCTGCCACCTCTTGCTGCTTTGCTGGTGCATTTATACATGCGAGACAAAATGAGCTTTTATTTGATGGGATTTGCAATAATAAAATACTCTTTATAAGCGGTTAAATTCAACAGTTCAAATAATGAAATGGACATAAATAAGTGCTCTGTTACAATTTAATACAGGCCACAAATTAGTTTGAGACAGTTCAGGAAAGAAAGCATTCACACAGTCAGTGAGTTTAATTGAAACCCAAATGTAGTTTAGGAAGTTCCATAGTTCAGATCAATAGAGGTTATATAATCTAGAGTTCACTTTATTTGCTTAAAGCTGAACATTAATTATTAAAAATGAAATCCAGTAAATCAGTAGAATAGTGGTTAAGCTCCTCGCCTCTCTCCTATTGTGGTTGTAAATTACAGTCCCAGTGGTACCTGACATCCCAACATGCCTCCAAAACAAGTGCAAGCCTTTGTTCGACAGTCTTTTGGTGGGGATGTTTCCGCAGAGGATACAAACACTCAAGTTATCTCTCCCTCTTGATATAGCTATCCAACAAAGATCCACATTGCTCATCGGTATTCTTCTGGATGGTATTCAATCTGACTTCATTTGTCCCTGTAAAGTACAGCACAGCCTCATTATAACAGTGTTTGACTGCCTAAAATTTTGCATCTTAAACCACACTTTTGGGACATCCTCCCGACGTGAAAGGCGCTATACAAATGTAATCTTGTTGTTGTTTTGGTCACCTTTCCCCTCCGTGCCACACACACACATCAACGCAGATGCCCAGCCAACTTGTAAAGTCCTTTAACCCGTCCTCCTGATGTGAAAGGTGCTATACAAATGTATGTTTTATTATTTGGGACCATTAAATCCCATCCTGCATTGCAACAAGCCATAATCGCTAGCCTGACTGTGCATGCACATTGCTGGCCTGCTCTCTCCCTCCCTGTGTGCTTCCTGAAAGAAAAAACTGGCAGTTTATTGGGTTAACTTCCTGCATTCTGCCCAAACGAGAAAGTGCCAACAGAGGTGACCTAATGGACCAGGTGTTGGGCATTGTAGCACGAAAATCTGACCAGTGCTACAGGAAGCAAGCAAGCCATCAGCACATACATGCAATTAACATGATTCACAGTGCCACCCATTATAAGTGAATGTGTGCTATAGTGAAGTGCATTATAATGGGGCTGCACTGTATTTCTCTTTTCTACCTTTCTTTCCTCCCCAAAATCGTTACAAAATACTGAGCTCTTTTATATTAAAAACACACAGCTTGATGCTGTGATTAGGAGGGTGGGTATTCTGGAAGAATGAGATCTAATGGGCTGAAGGACCTTCTTCATCCAAACCAATCATGCTCTTGTGAAATTACAAGAATTTGCAAGCATCAAAGTGCCTGAAGCATGTTCATAAACCTTCCATTTGAGGTTTTTGTTATGTATTGATGTAAATGTTGAAAATGTAAATATTCAATTCCTGGGCAGGAGCAAAACGTTTACCTAGAAGTTTCCAGAGTTAACAATCCCTTAAAAAAGAACAAGAAAAATAATGATTTGGTCACTCAATCAATGGACTGTTCGTAGGACAGACACTGCTGTGCGCAATTGGCTGCCATGTTTCGGCCACATAATATGCAGTTAATTCACTTTACAGTATATTCTATTATAAATAGACCTGAATTTTAAAACTTGCTGAATTGCCTCACATTTGAGTGGTGTTGAGCCCCACGTGCGAATGCTAGTTTTTAG